GCACTGTAGCCAGTCAAAGTGGGGAGAATATTAGGGGTGGAAAAATTGTTCCAGCTTTTGATTCAAACGGAGGCGAAAACATTGAACGAGGTCTTGATTCAATCGGGGGTAAACATTGATTCAATCGGGGGCGGAAATGTATTACGAAATATTGATTCAATTGGGGGCGGAAATGTACGAATTACTGATTCACTCGGGGGCGGAAATATCGTACGAAACATTGATTCAATCGGGGGCGGAAATGTATTACGAAATATTGATTCAATTGGGGGCGGAAATGTACGAATTACTGATTCACTCGGGGGCGGAAATATCGTACGAAACATTGATTCAATCGGGGGCGGAAATGTATTACGAAATATTGATTCAATTGGGGGCGGAAATGTACGAATTACTGATTCACTCGGGGGCGGAAATATCGTACGAAACATTGATTCAATCGGGGGCGGAAATGTCGTACGATACATTGATTCAATCGGGGGCGGAAATGTCGTACGATACATTGATTCAATCGGGGGCGGAAATGTCGTACGATACATTGATTCAATCGGGGGCGGAAATGTCGTACGATACATTGATTCAATCGGGGGCGGAAATGTCGTACGATACATTGATTCAATCGGGGGCGGAAATGTCGTACGATACATTGATTCAATCGGGGGCGGAAATGTCGTACGATACATTGATTCAATCGGGGGCGGAAACCTTATAAGAGGTCTTGATTCAATCGGAGGTGGAAATGTGATAAGAGGTCTTGATTCAATAGGAGGCGGAAATGTCGTACGAAATATTGATTCAATTGGAGGCGGAAATCTTGTAAAAGGTCTTGATTCAATCGGGGGCGGAAACGTTGTACGAAGTTCTGACGCTGGAAGTGGATAATTTTTGGTTCGACTGGGAAGAAATCAGAATCCCTGAGAGTCAAAATAGCAAGGCATCCAGCGGGAACTCCAGAACAAAATCCTAGCCGCTGAACTTGGAATCGTGTGGATAAATATTGCCTACGTTACAGTCACTACTAAATTAACTATGTGTATGCATGTGTACAGTAAAAATATAATCATATCATTATTGCATGCTATATATTTGTAATATATGTATATTTAAGAACAATATTAAGTGTTGAAATAAATACAGTTAAATTAGCAATCGTCTCTTCACTTCAATACCTCTTTCAAATGAGTGCTAGAACGACGGTGGGTCATTTCATTGCAGTAATTCTGTTTATTTCTTTGCGTAGAAGGGGACTGGGAAATGTTACGAAACTGCTCTCCAGTCTAAGTAAAACGTTCACTCCGAAGTCTTCAAATCTACCTGTTCTTGACAGATTTCGACAGTTCTATTTGTCGAATTCTCTGTCAAATCTTATTTATATCAATATATGTATATAATCAATTTTTATGTTTCAATGAGCTCTCGCCTAAAATGCCAAATTAGGGCGATAGATCTACTTGTTTATTCTGAAGTTATATTAAGCTCCTTCAAAATAAAACGTTGAGCTTTTCTCCTGACTTTCCTGCCATATGTAGATCGAGACCCGGAGCTTACAGTTCGTTGTTACGCCGGACATATGAAAACCGCTCACGCACTTTGTGATTCTGTGACTGAAAACTCAAAGAGGTCGTTCCCTTTTCTGTCTTGTTCGCCACAGCAGTCCTCCGAGGAACACGGAAGCTGCTTTCGGGCTGCCTGCAGGCCATCAATATACACGGCAGATTGTATGTGAGCGCCCGCGCGCTGATACTACGTAACACAAGACCCGGAGTTACCCTAAGCGGGTCCAAACCTTAAAGAATTACTGAATGTGAAACCCACAGCATTCGGCGACGCATATGAACGACATAAATTGTGGAATCAACTGCTTAAGCCAGCGTTTCCCCACCTTCGATCCACAAACCACTGTCAGTCAGATGCTTCTTCATTTTATTTCCTTCCTCAGGACGGACCTAGCAGCGATAAAACACCCTCTTCTCGCTTACGCCATGGTCTCGTAAGATGTCTCTTCCCTTCGAGCATTCAAAACTAAAATTCTGTATTAATTTCTCATCAGCATGCATTCTATATGGTCCGCTCATCCCGTCCTTCCTAAACTCATCATCCTAGTCATTGCTGAAGAGTACGAATCGTGAAAGTCGGCATGAATTTTCTTCGAGTGAAGAGCGTGTAGCAAGGAGTAAGCTAATCGCCAGGCGACAGACCGGAGCAGCGCGAACAGCGAGGGTACAGGATCCAGAGAGAGACGCGTGGCGGCTTGTCGTTAGGCGGATATTGGGACCAGATTGACTTCGCTTGCATTTTCAACTCAATGACAGTAAACACACAAATCAAGCGATGAGATGACCAAAAGGCAGGATTAATTCAGTGATCAATACTCGTGTGACACTGAACGAGTAGAACTTGAGGCCTGAAATAAATAAACTAAGAGCTCCGATTCAGCATATGAAATGTTTCTCATCAGTAACAAGTCAACTGAACAGAATTCTCTTATTTTATCGATCACAATAGCCCTTAAAACTTACTTCAATTTTTGTAAAAAATTCTCTGGAGTTAGCGAGAAAATTTAGTTATTATTCGAAATGTCGCCAATGGAATCTACTGCTCTGTTTCACATCCATCGAATTTAAAGGCACATCACAAGATGAGAACTAAACCTATCTTCAGGTTAAAAATATACAAAACCATATTTTATCGGCTAGATATATCATTTCTCAAACTGCAAATTCAACCAAAACATGTGACTTTATTGAACACTCGAGGACGTACCAGCTTTCTTAACGATGTCTATGCTGTCATTATTATAATCGTCTTAACAGTATTCGCAGTGCTGTTACGAAGCTTAGGCAGATTGTGAACAGAGCGATGTCGAACCAGGAGGGCGAGCAATGAGTGAGGCATGGAAGAAGTAGTCCTCAATAGCTCGACCTGGACTCAATTACAACTTCCCCGGTGTTTCTGGCGTTCTCTGAAACTGTACGTACATTTTACAAGTTCGTCGTCCTATTTAGACCGACTGCCTTATTTATAGCACATACAAATCTGCTGATGTGCAGTTAATCGATTACACACCAGAGTCAAAAGATACTTCGCCATTTGCCTAGTTAATTATTAATCATATAAAAAAATATTTTAACTAAACTTTTATACCCCAGTAATTAGGTACGGGGCTAGGTATGGCCACGTATAATAATAAGAGATTTTTCCGTGTCGAGACACTTAATTCATATCAACTTCGCCCACGTGTTATTTCGTCCCCAGAAATTTAACCTAAACCACTCCTACAAGCCGTTTCACCCAAATTCCTCTTCGACTACTAAATTTGGTCTATTCCATTTCAACGGTGTTACAGAACACAAAAATAAGAATTTATCAGTGTGTTTTGTGTCGGGAGCCTTGAGTTTTCTGTAAAACGTAAGTCTTGTGATCTATTTATTTAGATGGTAACTGTTTCGCACATGTGAAGACTTTGGAAAATGAGAGAAACTCAAGATACAAACTTACATCCTAAGCGTTTAATTTTCATCATGTTATCTTAGGGATTTCATTAGGGTTTTATTACGATGCAACACTACACGGTTATAATTACCTCGAATTCATAAGAAACACTGTACTATATTTTAATACTACCCGTAGAACGTTGTTTTTACTGCCATCTGACAACCTTCTTTGGAACCTCGACAGTCCTGCCATTTCCTGTGTTCCAAATGAAATTCGTACGTTGTGTGCTAAACTTTCACGAATTGAATGTTCAACATGATCAAAAATTGATATATTTCTGTATTTTCCGAAGGGCGGATGAAAACAATTACGCGCGTCAATTGGAGTAGATTAAAAAGTAGAAGATTAAATGAAACAGATGAAGCGTCTCATACGTTAATCTGCACTGGAAAAATTAACGTACACGGTAATGGCGTAGTTGAAATGTAGGCGAACAATCATAGAACCGAATTTTCTACTTTTAGAACTACGCTAAGATACGCCATTACTGCTGATTTTAAAGACATATTTAACAACAAA